ATGCTTTGGACAAGCCTAGGACAATCCAGCGGCGCATGAAAGAAACCGGCTCGCTCGTACGTGAAACAGACAAAACCAAAATAGCTAGCATATGTGAAAATCAATCGAAGTGGAACGAAACAAAGCGGGATGAAAAAAAGAATATTTCCTTCCTTTATTAGTAAATATAGATTCATCAAAAAATAGCTAGCATACTCGCCATATCGATGATTCATAGCTCGTTATTTGCTCAACAATGCATGAGAGGGTAGAGGTGCACTGGAAGACGTGGCTCAGCATGTAGCACTAACGGCTTCTCTATGAAGAGGTCGTGCTTGGACTCGCTGAGATTGATGGTCGACACCCGAGCCGGTTTGGTCCAGGTGAAGCCATGCAGGAGCTTGCCAAAGAGCATGACACTCATGGTTGTTCCTAGTGATGCCGCGATGCATCCCCGTCGTCCGGTGCTGAAGGAGATGAACCGCAATTCGCTCTCAGTAAGCACCACATTGATGTTATCTCCCATATGGCGCTCCGGTTTGAAGCGGAGCGGTTCATCCCAGACGGTGGGGTTCCGGCCCAGGGCCAGCCGGCTGAGGAAGACGTTGCTACCCTTGGGCACGCGGTAGCCCGCAACAATGGTGTCGGCAATCGCGACGTGCGGCAGGTTGAAGGGAGCGATTGGGTGGAGGCGGAATGCCTCACGTATGCATGCCTTGAGATAGTTGAGCTGCATGATGTCCGACTCTTGCACCAGTCGCTCACGACCGACCACCCGGTCCACCTCCTCCACCGCCTTGGCCAGCAATTATGGGTTGTTCACCATCTCCGCCAGCGACCACTCCACTGCGTTTGACGGGTTATCTATGGCCGCTAATATTATGCCCTGCATGTATTCCATGGAGATAAATGTAAGTTATTATAATTTATACGTTTGCATAAAGAGAGATTACATTGAATAATTAGAAATTTAAATACAATTTAAGTTGAAATCACATCAAAATGGTAGAAAATTACAATAATGCTATGTTTAAACTATTAATTCATAATTTCTTATTCTATTGTTTCCATTTTCTAACACCTGTGAAATACGGTATAAGATCTAGTATGTAATAGTGTGAGCTATTACCTTTTCTCATGGATGACGTATTAGTACCTTTTAGGACTATGAGGCAATTGATCACTAAATTCAATCTAGGCCCTTGAACCATCTTAAAATTTCTTATTAATTAATATTTTGCTTACCTTGGACTGTGCTTTGACCTCATCGATGCTGAGCAACGGCTTGCCGTCACCGTCGGCGAGCGTGATGAGAACATCAAGGAAGTCCTGGACCCCGTCCTGCCTCTCGCCGCTGTTCCACTGCCTCCAACGCTCTTCGATGACCACGTCGTGCAGTCTATCCACTTTTGTGTTGGCCTCCTTAATAATTTTCTCGTGGCCGTCGAGATCTAGGCCAAGTAGACACGAGAGGTAGTCGCTGACGCAGAACGCGAAGGTGAACCCTAGGAGGGCGAAGGAAGCGTCCATGTGCTCCACCTCCATCGGCCCCGGCCCGCCGTCCGGCTGAGGCTCCCCGAAGTACCGTTGGCCGAAGACAAGCCGGCGGATGACGTTGCTGCAGTAATGTCCCGCGACATGCCTGACATTGACGTTGGCTAGTCCCTACATCGAAGATGACAACCCCCCGGCGGTGAGGTTGTAGATGTAGCGCGTCAAGTTGTCAGCTTCATCGGCGCGCTTGTCGTGGAGCCACTTGTGACAGGAGGGGCAGATGATCTCAGAGGTGAGCACCTTGCGCATCTCAATGTGCACCTTGTCGACGAGATAAAGTATTGTGGTCCTGTGTTTCTTCGCAACATGTATCCCTTCGAGCGGTTCATGGGAATACTGAAGCGCTTTTGTCGGAACCGAAACCATCCAGAGGCAAGCATCCTACAAGGTTATACCACGGAGGAAGTGGTTGAGTTTTGCACTGAATACATGAAACAAAGACCTATAGGTTTGCCCCTCTCTCGCCACAAGGGAAGGCTGAAAGGTAAGCCGGTCCTTGCTGGCACGCAAATCGCTACACCCGGAGAATTGGGAGAGAAAACCCATTTGATGGTACTGCTTAACAACCCAGTTCTCAGCACTTATGCCGTAGAACACTTGGCGGAGATACGCCAAAGTTTCTTACCAATGGTGTTGTAACATCCCAAATTTTCAATTTGGAATGTTATACATAGGTCATTTATGCATATCATATTTTATTGCATTTTCGTTTGCGATCCTCAAAATTCTAAGCAACTCAAGGACCCGCGAAGAGAGTTGGGGATTTCACGATTTTCATATTTGAATTTTATCTAATATTGAAACAAGGATCATTTTGGTTTTAATGATTTTTCTCTCCAAAAATATTTCAAATTTAAAATATATGAGAGGAGATAATATGACTTCTCCAAAATAGATGAAATATTGGAGGAAAAATATTAAAATCAAATAAATAATTTTATTTGGATTTTATTGCTATTTTATTCGAATTAGGAAAAATACGCGTTTTTCAAAATTGCATTATAGGCCCAAATAAATGTTCACCTTGTCGGCATATTTTTAGAGGATGGGGAAAATTTATTTCGGGATTGTTGAAGTCTGTTTAGTATTTATTTTCTTTGTTTTTCTACGCGTTAGAATATTTTCCAAAAAAAAAGTTTGAACCGACTTACGGGCCATGGGCGACCCGGACTCCCGCCGCCCCGGGCCATATAAGCCGCGCCCCCGACCCCGCAACCCACCACCAGCCCCGCCGCCGAAACCCTAACCGTAACCCGCGCCGCCGCCGCGCCGCGACGTCCCGACCCCGCCGCCCGCCGCCGTCGACCCTGCCCGCCGCCTCGCCGGAGTTGCCCGCCGCCGCCGCCGTCACGCGTCCCGAGGTAGCCGCCGGTTTTTGTTAGAAAACCATATGTTTTTTTAGAAACCCTCGGTTATTTTATTTTAGATCGGTTTTAATTTTTTTCTCGGTTTAGTAATTTAGTGGACGTTCGTCCGTACGTTCGTTTTAACGAACGCCGTTCACCCGTTAGCCGCAGACAGCGAACGTTCTTTCGTTAGCCTGTTCGTCAGTTTTTCTTTTTTCAGGGTTTTTCCGCGAGTATTTTCGATCGCGATTTCTGCCCTGATTTTCATTTTAGTTTATCTTTTCGCTCGTTTATCACAATCAGGCGATTCAAGCGCCTAGATCTTCGTCTCGAAGCCATCTTTCTGTTTAACCAACTTGAACAAGATTTTGGTACTGTAAAATTTGACTTTAGTCCAGATTAGTAATCCGATCTTGTTTCTTTCGCAGTTTTGAGTTTCGTTGCTCCGTTGGATTTGATTCTTTTTGCAAAGCGGAGTTTTTCAGTTGAACTTTCTGGTTAAATCGTCTTATTTGAGTCTTAACCGTGCATATTTGATTGATTGCTTATGTATGTTATTGTTTGTTTGCGATAGAATTCCCGGAGTGCGAAGCGTGCTACTACGAGTCTGTAGGTTTTGTCGATCGTTAGCAAGGCAAGTAACACATTGATCATACTCTTTGCATACCCAGTTTTTATGCATTAGTTACAAGCCTCAAACATTGCATGATTAGGATGTGTTTAACTTGTGGGTTTGGGAAGTAGTTGATGAGGTAGAACCTATTGCCATGTTTATTATCAAACCCTGGGAGTTACTTCTACGTTATGCTTAAATTGCCATGTTATGCTCGTAGACGTGGATTGGGTTTTAGTGTATCCATGACAGATGTGAGTGTTTAATTAATGGTTCAACTTAAGGTGGCAACTTTAATACACATATGGGTGGATTGTTTGTTTTGGGCACCTGGGGAATCCAGTGCTGTCCTAGGATATCCCAGGGTTATACCGTGTGATCATCCTACGGTCCGCCACCCAGGCTTAAAGGGATCATAAGATTATTCATGCTAAAAACTTCCGTGTGTAGCCACAAGCCATTATGGGCTCTGCCATAGTTGAGTATGTTGTGTGACCTCTTTCAGTGGTGGGCTAGCAGATGTAGAGGGAAAGTAGATGTAACTGTCCACCCAGAGTAAAGAGTTAATGCTTCCGAAAGACCGTGTCTCGATAATCCGTTTCTCAAACACCATGTAGTGCGAGAAATCCAACGAAGGAGATCGAGTCTTGTGGGGAAATGTGTGCAAACCTCTGCTGAGTGTATAAACTAATCATGGTTAGCCGTGTCCCCGGTTATGGACATCTTGAGTATCTGGTAGTTGAATTATTGATTTGATCTCATCACTCTAAATTAATTTGTTGGGTTATTAATGATTATTTTAATTGGGATTGACTTGGAGGAACCTTCTCAATGATGTTTCAACCACCATGATAGTTAAATAAAATGTATTCCTTTGTTGTAGGGAAAAATTGGCTTTTCGCAAAAATCATATAACCATAGAGCCTCCACCAGGCATATATGCATGTAGTGATAGCATTTATCTGTTCATTGCTCTACTGTGTTATATTGCCAGCATATTCCATGTGCTGACCCGTTTTCGGACTGCAACGTATTATGTTGCAGACTTTTCAGACAACGAGTAAGGTGCCATAGGTCGTTTGTCATGCACTCAGCTATGCCGTTGGAGTTGATGGACTTACTTTATCTTCCAAGCCTTCCGCTGTTAGCGTATTAGATGGCCTTAAGCCATATTTATTGTAATAAGTTTTCTTTTGAGACATTTGATGTAATAAGTGTGTGATTGCTACTCTATTATAAATCCTTCGAGTACTGTGTGTGTCAGCATTGCCGATTCAGGGATGACACTGAAGCACAGAGACTTGACCGTCTGAGGTCGGGTCACTACAAGATGGTATCAGAGCACATGCTGAATGTAGGACACGACCACTAAGAAGAGCCATAAGTCACTCTTCTCTACTCATTTCTGACTCCTCTCCATTTTCTACTCTTTAGGATGGTGGACTCGAGGAACAAGTTTGCACAACCAGATGAAGACACCCCCTTTTTACGACACTTGAAGGAAGTCACTAGATACCTGAACGTGCCGTCGACATCCCTGTTGGACTGTTCAGCAGCACCGCGGCTGTAGCTGAGCTCTCGTCCACACGCAGGCCACCAGGCGAAAACCCATGCAGGCCACCAGGTAATGGGCCTTGCCCATCATCACCCGCGGTATGGCTTGTCTCCTGGTCCGTCTTCTCTTCTGACCCATCAGAAAAGCCTAACCCTTTTGCTTTGCGTGTTGTAGCTAAGCCATTAGGAGCGGCACCATCATGTCCTTTTCTTTTTCCTGGGCGTTGCTCGTCCACCAGGACACCACGTGAAGGTGAGCTCCCACATGAAGTTGCATTATACGACTTGTACGTAGCAACCATGTACGTGCCTCCTGCACAGATTGGACTGTAATGCGCAGCGTGTGCGCCTTGCTTCACGTTACCCACATGTAAGTGTGAGTTAGCTTCCCTCGCGACAAGACTCACCATATCAGACATGCATGCATCGTCGGCGTTTCTTGCTGCACCAGCGTTTCGTCCCGCCTTGTGATTTTCCAGCGCTACAACATCGGCATACTTTATGTCCTGGACTTCTGGCGCCATGACTTCGCCTAGAGTCGAAACTTTTATATCGCTCTTCGGGCCGCCTACGGGCATCTTCTCCAGTTGACCAACACAGAGACTGCTTCTCCATGGTCAAGCACACGCAGCTATCGCTTCTTTCGCTCCAGCAAAGATAGCACTTACGCCCGTAGCATTGTCGTAAGTTTCGGAGACCTTGATCTGATCATACACCACCACCACGCATAGGGTCACATTCTGCTCCCACGTGAAAAACCAGAGAGAATAGAGTAAGCAATTATTGCTTGATTATCATCTGAATAAGAGAATCGACAAGAGGAACATAGGAATCTTGCTGGTGTAGTTGTGAACGTGCTTTTGCAGCCCAGATCACTTCACTATTTTAATTAAAAAGCATTTTCTTCACCAACGCGACGGGTGATGTGCCATGTTTCAATTCATAATCGAGACTAAATGACCAGCACACACAATATGTGGGCAGCTAGACACATGAATGAAATAGAACCATCAATAAACCTGGGATGGCCAATGCGTGTGCGGATGAAACGGCAGCCACGGCGTCCGCCTCTGTAATAGCAGCATCGACAGGCGAATAACCTGCAGTAGCAGCAATAAGCGAGAAGTCGGCAGAAAAAAAATTGTTGCTTCCTCTATCTCAGTGATGGCTGACCCTCCTACCCCATCCACATCTGACCTTGCATCTTTTTCCCATCTCACCTCGGGTTGTCTGTAGTGGATCTCCTCATCCACACCCGCCGGCAGCCCCTCCATGACTCAAGCACAAGGTGGACCCCTAGCTATCCCATGGGGAGAAGAGGGGAGGGGCAGAGGACCGGTAGCGGAGGAGGAAGAATGTGCGATGGCGACGGCGTGCTCCGTCTGCGTTCCTCCGGTCGATGGGGGAAGCAGGCCATGGGCGTGCCGGAGCCTGCATTGGATCCGGACGAGCTGCTTGATCTGGGGCAAGGAGGAGGCAAGGAGGTCGTCAGTGGTGGGGATAGCCTGAGGGGAGGTGGAAGGAGTGGGGGCGCCAGCTATGGGGCAGGGCGCCGGTTGTGGTAGCGGCTATGGGGAGGGCGGCTGCAGACGAGGGAGATGGAGAGGGAGGGATGGGGATTAGGGAATGAGGAGACGCCATCCACGCCATCTACCTAATCCACGCCATCGACCCAGTATCTTTTTTGCCCAACCCACGCCATCGACTTGGCATATACGAGGAGGCGCCCTTTGCGCCACCGTTAATGGGTTGTATGCATGCATGCACATACAGCAGGACCAAAAAGAAGAAGTTCTCAAAACATACTATACCATGAGCTTCCTCACCATTTCCACACTTTCTGAACATGGTCCAACACCACATGCATGGAAGGGCCTAGGTCGTTTCTCTATCTGTTCCTTTTTCTGCTAGCAGAGACGACCTTTGTCCGACCTCTCCCTCCCGCATAGTCCCTCCTCCCATTGACATTTTTCGTCCATCATCTTGTGAGCATCCCTCACATCCTCTCGCCTGCCATCACCTACTTCAAGTCAGGCTGACAAACCTCGCGGGCAAGCCTTCCATCTATCCCGTGGATCAACTACAGCACGTGGACGTACAGAAGCACGGCGGTCCCTGCACGAGAGCACGGATGCGGGTTCCCATAAGCACTCTCACCTCTCTCATGTCCCTCGGTCAATGTGCCCCTCATGTCTTTGTTGTCTCCAGTGGCCGTTGTAGGTACGTGCGGCTAGAAGGGTTGAGCGAGCGGGGTTGGTTGCTGAAGGGGGCGCGGCGGGCGAAGGTCGGCGATGAGCAGAAGGGCACGCGTGGCGTGGGTTTGATACTTGATACTAGGGACGGTTCAGAAAGTGGAGTTGTTTGATGCATTGTTGTCAGCGTGTTTGTGTCCTTGATGCACTTTTCCAAGAAGTCTGCATTTGGTCTCTCTCACCGGGCATGGCCATGTGGCAATTAGAGTACAATCACACGGCAGACGATGTTTTGCTTGGTGCACTCTGCAAAGAAAAGAAGGTTGATACACTTCGCAACAACAAAAAAGGTCATCGGAACTCCAAATTAATGTTGTTCAAATTGCATGTATTAAAGGGTAATGTCACGGTACATAAGAATATTAAGTTATGCAACAACCTTTGCACCGTTGATCCGTCAAGCCAAACAAATAGGTGGTTACCCCTAACTAGTTGATGTCCCACCCAACCTTGCTTAAACGTGATTGTTGTAGTTGTTTTGCATATGCAATATTTTCATGTGAAGAGGTGCGAGTAAATTGATGTTTCTTACTCATATGTCCTCTTTGGGTAGGTTAAGAAGTTACACCATTGTGAAACAAAATGCAGCTATGGTTGGTTGATAGTGTTCTTTAGACGTGATTGTTGTAATCATCTAACATTTAGAAGTATTATCTCTTGTTGCAAAGCAACTCCGCCTATGTTGTCTCAACATAGCCGGTCCCAAGCCCGGATAAAGGAGGAGGCTTGTGATAGGCTTGGCGAGCCAACGTAAAAACTCAGCCACTCTTATGGAGATGAAACCCAAAAGATTTTCGTTGGGGCGTAACCCTCTCAGCGACGCGCCACATCGGAACCAAGGTGTGGTGGAAAATGGGCAAGGGCCGGGCCGTCACCCCCCAAGTGGCGCGCCGTATCTTGATCCAGATACGGTGGCAAGTGAGCGAGGATCGGGTCGTCGCATCCTTAGTGGCGCGCTACATCGGCGTCCGGGTGTAGTGGAAAATGAGCAAGGGTCTTCGCATTTGACTCGACGAGTGCGAAGGGTAAGGAAGCTAGCCGAGCCTAGGAGGATTCGCTTAGGTAGCTGGAACGTAGGGTCTCTGATAGGGAAGCTTCGGGAGCTAGTTGATGCAGCGGTGAGGAGAGGTGTTGATATCCTTTGCGTCCAAGAAACCAAATGGAGAGGACAGAAGGCGAAGGAGGTGGAGGATACAAGCTTCAAGCTGTGGTACACGGGGACGGCTGCAAACAGAAATGGCGTAGGCATCTTGATCAACAAGAGCCTCAAGTATGGAGTGGTAGGCGTCAAGAGACGTGGGGACCGGATTATCCTGGTCAAGCTGGTAGTTGAGGACTTGGTTCTCAATGTTATCAGCGTGTATGCCCCGCAAGTAGGCCACAATGAGAACACCAAGAGGGAGTTCTGGGAAGGCCTGGAAGACATGGTTAGGAGTGTACTGATTGGTGAGAAGCTCTTCATAGGAGGAGACCTCAATGGCCACGTGGGTACATCTAACACAGGTTTTGAAGGGGCGCATGGGGGCTTTGGCTATGGCATCAGGAATCAAGAAGGAGAAGATGTCTTAAGCTTTGCTCTAGCCTACAACATGATTGTAGCTAACACCCTCTTTAGAAAGAGAGAATCACATCTGGTGACTTTTAGTAGTGGCCAACACTCTAGCCAGATTGATTTCATCCTCTCGAGAAGAGAAGATAGGCGTGCGTGCCTAGACTGTAAGGTGATACCTGGAGAGAGTGTTGTACCCCAGCATAAGCTGGTGGTTGCTGACTTCCGCTTTCGGATTCGTGTCCAGTGGGATAAGCGTGCCAAAGTCGCTAGAACGAAGTGGTGGAAGCTCAAGGGGGAGGTAGCTCAGGTGTTCAAGGAGAGGGTCACTAAGGAGGGCCCTTGGGAGGAAGGAGGGGATGCGGACAATGTGTGGATGAAGATGGCGACTTGCATTCGTAAGGTGGCCTCGGAGGAGTTTGGAGTGTCCAGGGGAAGGAGAAGCGAAGATAAGGATACCTGGTGGTGGAATGATGGCGTCCAGAAGGCGATTAAAGAGAAGAAAGATTGCTTCAGACGCCTATACCTGGATAGGAGTGCAGACAACATAGAGAAATACAAGATGGTGAAGAAGGCCGCAAAGCGAGCTGTTGGTAAAGCAAGGGGTCGGGCATATGAGGACCTCTACCAACGGTTAGGCATGAAGGAAGGTGAAAGGGAGATCTATAAGATGGCCAAGATCCGAGAGAGGAAGACGAGGGACATTGGCTAAGTCAAATGCATCAAGGACGGAGCAGGCCAACTCTTGGTGAAGGACGAGGAGATTAAACATAGATGGCGGGAGTACTTTGACAAGCTGTTCAATGGGGAGAATGAGAGTTCTACCATTGAACTGGACGACTCCTTTGATGAGACCAGCATGCATTTTGTGCGGCGAATCCAGGAGTCCGAGGTGAAGGAGGCTTTAAAAAGGATGAAAGGAGGCAAGGCGATGGGCCCTGATTGTATCCCCATTGAGGTGTGGAAAGGTCTCGGGGACATAGCGATAGTACGGCTAACCAAGCTTTTCAACCTCATTTTTCGGGCAAACAAGATGCCAGAAGAATGGAGACGGAGTATATTAGTACCAATCTTCAAGAACAAGGGGGATGTTCAGAGTTGTACTAATTACCGTGGAATTAAGCTGATGAGCCATACAATGAAGCTATGGGAGAGAGTCATTGAGCACCGCTTAAGAAGAATGACAAGCGTGACCAAAAATCAGTTTGGTTTCATGCCTGGGAGGTCGACCATGGAAGCCATTTTCTTGGTACGACAACTTATGGAGAGATATAGGGAGAAAAAGATGGACTTGCACATGGTGTTCATTGACTTGGAGAAGGCCTATGATAAGATATCGCGGAATGTCATTTGGTGGGCCTTGGAGAAACACAAAGTCCCAGCAAAGTACATTACCCTCATCAAGGACTGATACGTCCACTTTGCATCATGCTTCTATGTTAATATTTATTGCATTATGGGCTGTTATTTCACGTTATGTCACAATACTTATGGCTATTCTCTCTTATTTTACAAGGTTTACCATGAAGAGGGGGAATGCCGGCAGCTGGAATTCTGGCTGGAAAAGGAACAAATATTGAAGACCTATTCTGCGCAACTCCAAAAGTCCTGAAACTCCACGGAATATCTTAAAATAAATAAAGAAAAATCGTCGCCAAAGATGAAGGCCAGGGGGCCCACACCCTGCTCACGAGGGTGGGGGGCGCGCCCCTCCCCCCTGGGCGCGCCCCCCTACCTCGTGGGCCCCCTGGTGGCTCTCCGACGCCCATCTTCTCCT